TACCTTGATTTTTAGCCTAGTGAAATATGTAGAACTTCTAACCTACAGCACTGTAAAAATGAAATTGTGTTGTATTTAGAACACTAAGCTCTTGGTAATTTGTTAACAGTGGCAATAGGAAACTAATATATATTTGAATCTATTTCAATATTATTGTTTCCTGGAATTGAGAAATTCCATTCATTTTAATTTTGACAAACTTGAAACACCAATGTAACCAGTACTCAGATCAAGAAACAGACATTCCCAGCATTCCAGAAGCCTGTCTTGTGCCGGCTCTAGTGGATATTTACCTGCCAAGGATAATAGTAACCCAGACTTTCATTATTATAGATCAGTTTGGCTGTCGGGTTAAGTAGAATTATAAAGTATATATTCCCATGTATTCCACTCAACAGTTTTGTGAAATTCACACTTTCTCCTGTGGTTTTGTTAATCCTCCTTGCTGTACAATCAGCCCTTTACTTCAATGAGTTATCCTTGGATTCAACCAATCTCAGATCAAAAATACTTGAATGGCAGAGGATATAGCTCAGCAGCATGGCATCTGCCTGGCAAGCGTGAGGTCACAAGTTCAATTCCCAGTACAAAAAAAAAAAATTCTTGAAAAAATTGTGTCTACATTGAACACATGTAGACATTTTTGTCATCACCCTTTAAAAACAGTACAGCATAGCAACCATTTACTTAGCATTTACATTGTGTTAAGCATTACAAGGAACCTGAGATGATTTAGAGTATATAGCAGGGTATGTGTTGGTTACACGCAAATACTATGCCATTTATATAAGGGACTTCAGTTTCCATCCCCAGAGGGCCTTGGGACCAATTCCCTATGCATTCCAATGGACACTGTATAACGTTCCATTATGTAGACATACCTAATGTATATCTATTTCTACTTTATTAAACATTTGGATAGTTTCAAATGTAAGGCAATTACAAATACTGGCCATGTATTTTGCCTAAAAAATTATGAGACTTGGAGATACAGTCTTTGTAAACTTTCTGAGTAAGTTCTGAATATGTGAAAGAAACCAATTTCCAGTGAAATATGTATGTATGTATGTTTTGAAATTCTGTGTAATTCCATAAATATGTAATTTGCGCACTTTTCTGAGAAGGGTTGTATGACTTTGATGAGATCTCAGGTCCACCCACAGATGAGTGTAAACCGCCATTCTAGAATCACGAGTTATTTATACTGCAACTTCATACTAGTATTCTCAGTAAGCATATTTTTTGCATAGATTTTTCTTTCATGTTCAAAGCCCACTTGACATGTATTTGTGGACTATTGACCTCAATTCTTCACCGCAGAGGGCATCTCCTACTGGGATGAGAGTAATGGTAATGCCTTAAATCAATACAGCTTGTCACTGATAATGCTCTTTCAGCATCTGCTTCGTGCTCACTGCAGACAGCGCGTCATTTATATAAGATGCATTTGGAGTTCAGAGACATTGGGTGGATTGGAAATCAACTCCATCTTGAAGGAACAACCAAAGCATTTTGAGTATTTCTCCCTCCCTTCCCTCACTGGGGAATATTGCAGCCCCACAGAGCCCAAAGGGGACAGGAAGATTCCTAACTGTTTCTAAGATCAGTTTAAGTTCCTGTCTTTTCTGCAATGTGTTATTGCAAACCTTTAAATCCATGTCCTATACAATCTGTTTAGAGAAGTAGTCTTGTCTACTTGGCATCTGCCAGCGTCCTGCCTGACTCACTTCCCTTTGCAAATCAAATCCAGTTGGCTTCAAAACACCCTTGTTTCTCTCCCCAAGTTGCCATTCTTTCCCCAACCCCAGCTAGCGCCCTTCAAACACATTTGGGAATTTAGCTACTTAAACATTATTAATAATTAAAAAAGAAAAAACTTTGCCCACTCATCCTAGAGTATTACAGAATCCTTAATGGGGCTGGAGTCCCTGGTGTCTTGGGCATTAGGCTTTGGCATAGGCTGGGCAGGTTGGGCTTCAGTTGTGCCTGGTCACAAACTCTGCAGGACTATGGTCCTGGGAGACAAGGTTAACTTTCCTTCATTCTCAGTGCATCGTCAAAGGCATTTAAGCCAACCCTTTAGCAAATGCTTGAATCTTTTCTCTCACACTCAATCTTTGTTCCAATGTCATCCATGATGGAAAAATCACTATTTATTCAAGGAATTAAGTTTCAAGAAGCTCTAATTGTTCATCTACAAGATGTGATCAAAATATATGGTGAATGTTTAAATTTTAAATGTATTACAGTAAAAGACATATATATTGCCATTAACCCCTTCAAAATAGTCCCCCTCCCTTGAAACACATCCCATCCTTCTTGCCACTTTCTGAAGCAGTTGTAGAAGTCTTCTTTCATGTGTTTATAGGGTATGATTGAAAACATGGTGAATGTTACTGCCAATTGCCATGCAAACCACAGGCAGGCTGGTGAAAATTTGCTACATATTTACTACATATTACTACATATTTACTTTTACTGCATCTCTACATCCGCCCAATCCATTGGATCTGTACCATGTCACATCTGCCCCTTCCCCAAAGCCAAAATGACTATGGAAGATAAATATTTTAGATTGATTCAGGACATCAAGGCAGCCACAACAGCACAAGTAAAGACACAAAAAAGAACTTCCAGAACTGCTTCAGATAGTGGCATACTTGCCAAGTGTGTTTGAAGCAAGGAACGTATTTTGAGGAGGATTAATGGCAATGTGTCTTTTACTGAGATACATTTTTTTAAAATTAGCATTCATCTTATTGTACCTCATGTATGGCTTTCATCTTTGTCTTCTCGTGTCCTCAGCTTATTGATCATACCTTTTGGACCACAGAGAAAAGTGTAATTTCTCTTCCATATGACGGGAGAGAGGAATCACATCAGTTGTTCTCTTTGTCACGTGGTCGAAGGCCTCTCTGTGTCCACGCACAACACATTTTGACTCATCATAGGACAATGTAGTTTGTATGGGGAAAATACATTGAAAGGAATATGTCAAAGCCTTGCTCCTAAGTTTGTATACTGATCTTCAAACTGAGGAATAATTCTTTACTCTGGAGAGTTGGTTTTAGAATTAAGATAATATACATGCAAGTAAACTTAGAGACCTACAGTTTCGCTTGAGACAAGAGAAGAGGAAGTTTCAATTTTAAAGGACACTGGCAACTAATGGTGATCCACAGACACCCACTTTGGGTTTCTGCTACGGAGGAAGGTTTGCTCCCAGTATTGGACAACAGCTTCTCAAAACATTTTGTATTTTACGAGTCCTTGGCATATGTTGTTTGAGGAAAGAAATCTGGGCATTCTAGCTGATCTGCCTTGGGGGAAAGTGCTGCTCCTCCAGCTGGTGAGGGATCTGAACAGCAGTGACTCTCTGTCCCTGTTTAGGGTTTTCTCTCCTTGTCCACCTGGCTGCCCCCAGGGATAGGTGCATCTGACACCAGTGAGAGATCAAGAGCCTTACCCTCTAGAGTGGCTACCTGAGGTCATTCTAAGAAGGATCCAGGCTAAGAGCCTCCAAGAGAAGGAGACCAAACAGACCATGGGACACACAGCAGTGATCAACCACAGGAACTCAGAGTGCAGCCCCAGATCTTCACAGCTTCCCCTTTATCCTGGCAAAAGGGGCGCCCCCTTTACCTCCCCATTCAGGACCTGCCCAACCTCCTTCCTGGAGCCTTGGTCCAGCTAGCATCCTTGCCTTTCTCTAGCGGGCAACACATGCCCCGGATGAGTGCCAGGCTGGAGAGGAGTAGGTCAGAAGAGCTGACTTAAAAAGTGATCTTCCAGGATACAGTGCAGTGTTCAAAAAGATTGCTGTAACCATGGCAACACCACCAATACCTGTATGCCATGGACCAAGAACTAGGGGGCTAGGGAAGATGCAAACCATCATCAGGGTAGGTGATGTGATCACAGAGGAACTTTACAATTTATTGGTAATCTACATGCATTTCCACCTATTACCTGTAAACATGATTTATTTAACATTTTTCACGGTAATACTTGAGCTTACAAGTACATGATTATATCATACATTAAAACTGTAGTGTGAAGAGAGAAGGAGGAGAGATCAGGAAGCTATCTGGCCAAAATGACGGCCAATATGAGCGTGCCTTTGGGTAAACATCACTGAGCAATGGGAGCAGTAGGAATTTCTAAGATATTTCAATTTCTTTCTACAAAGTCGCACAGATAGATCATACTGGCTCCAAATTGAGAAATAAGGCTCTGGGGATCCTCCGAAGATAACAGTTCCCTTTGCTTCCCACGCTGCTTTCCAGGAAGCCAGTGCACAGGGATTGCAGAGCCCGTCAGAAATATCCCTCCCCTTCTGTTTCCATGACAACGAGGTCACCCAGGGGAAGCAGCTGAAGATGCTAAGAGAGAACAGAGACTAGTCTGAGTCAAAGTGTTTGTAAACCATAGGACACACTTAGATACCCCATTTCCCTCCCCAGCCCCTCCGCATTTCCCATTAGGAGGTTCCCCCCCATTCTGGCTGCACAGATGTCCCGTGTCTGGAACTCCTCATGGTACCAGACACCAGCCAGAAAATCAGAGAATTTGGTTCTAATTCTGAAGTTGATACTGTTGCCAAACCTACCTAACACTTTTTTCCTTGGTACTGAGAACTGAAGGCAGGGTTTCACACTGAGATAATATCCCCAGTCCTTTTTTAGTTTTTCATTTGGACATAGGTGTTCATAAGTTGTTAAACTGTCCAGACTAGGCTCACACTTGAAATCCTCCTGCCTCAGCCCTCCACAGTTCTGAGATTACAGGCATGTGCCACCACTCCTGGCCCTGCCTTCCACTTTTATTATTTTCAAGGTTAGACTGAAAGGGCAGGGTTTACTTAAGTGGCCCCAGTCTGTATCTTTCAGTTACGGATCAGAAAATGTTCAGTAGATGCTTCTAGAATGAGCTGACAGACGACCTTGGGTTCTTCCTTCTGGATAGTTTGCGGGCAGGCTGCTTACATTTTCTCTGTTCAGTCCTTGCAGGCATTTCCCAGTCTTTTGAATCCTGCTCACCGTGGGATTCTCACCCCTCCACATCCAACCAGCCCAGAGGCATCACAGCGCCACCGCCAGGCAAGGCTGGGAACTGGGACTAGGCACACCACAGGCACCACTCTTCCCCACCGTGTATGTGGAGTCTGCGGCTTCGTCTGGAACCCTGAGAAGGTGCCCAGTTCTGAGCCAGGTTATAAGTACTTGAACATCTCAAAGGCACATGCTGTGCCCTCGGAGAGCACCTAGGAGGTAGGTGGACCCCCTCGTCCAGAATCCACATTAGAAGGAAATGGCTCCCCTGCCTGCAAGAAGGCCCTGCCTCCGACCGACGAGATGGACGAGCTGTAAAGCCCACCAGGGTGTTTGGCTCATGGATCCTCCAAGACTAGGAGATGCAACAGAGCTAGTGTCCTTCAAAAGTCATCAGCAGTGGCCACTGAGACCTGAGAGTCAACGGGCAGACAGACACCTGGGGGAGCTAGGCCCAGTAGGAACACTAGGTTCTGACACAGTATTAATCCCTAAAGGTAAACAATCCGGATTTTACACTCCCTGCCCCTTAGCAGTTAATCCTGCATGAGAAAAACCACCCATGAGCCAAAGAGCGTTTACAGTGCACATGAATCCCGGGCCTCCAACCAGGAGAGGGCGCCACCGCACACCTGAGGAGGCCCAGAGTGGGAGCTGCTAGATGCGGCGACTGACTTCCGAGGGCAGATGCCAAGGTCAGTGGTCTGCAGCTGGGCGGTAACGCCTCCTAGAAGAGGCGTTACCCCAGAGCCCCATTTTCATGGTCCTGGAAGGAGCCAGTCACAATTATGTGACAAAGGGACCACAGTGCCACTCTTCACACAGGAGCTAGGTGACGACTGTATACTGGGGAATCTAAATTTAGTAAAAGCAGAATTTTAGAATCTTAGCAGTGGGCCCTTCAGGTCCACTCTGCTCTGGATTTTGTATTAAAAATGAACAGACTGACCCCCGAGACAGAAAGGGGCTTTTCTTGAGCCACAGCTGGCTGGAGAGCCACCCAGCTGGACCCCAGAGGGTCTTTTCTGCTGTCTTGCCATCCCAACTGCTAGCCCAGGTATCAGCTTAGAGTAAACGCCTATTGACTGGGCAGATGAGGTGAGGGAATGGATGAGTGGTGGCCGGAACACACGTTGTCCAAAGGACATTGGAGGTGTTGAGGTTCCAAATGGGCATCTGTCAGCCTCTGGAAACCCTATGTAGTCCCAAAGGTCTAAAGTTGGCAGTTTTGTTTCAAATGCAGGCTATTCAGAACCCAAGTAACCAAGAGAATCTTGGGGAGATGGGAGTCAATAGCAATACTTACTTTTTGTTCCCATGGTCAAGCCCAGATTATAGTGTGGAAGAAAGAAATGCTGTCAAGTGGTCTTCTCGTGAACAATATCAACAGAAAGCAGACAAAGCACTCACAGCCTTGCTTCTCTCCTCCCATCACTTCCTACTCTGTATCTCCATGAAGTTTCCTTTAAGCCACCCACCCCTTCTGCCCTCCACAGGTACAACTCCAGGGAGTTCTATGCTTCTTTCCCATTTGTGATTGCGATACTGTTGTGTGAGTACTTTAGAGATGTCTGCATCTCCACTGGATTAAGAAGGGCCCTTAGCTCATCACCTCATTCATGGGCTTCCTCAGAGTTCACTTGGACACCGATGCTCTCTGGCTGGGCCTTGAACCAGCTCAGTAGAGTCCACAGTAGACAGTGGGTGGGATTCTGAAGCTTCCCAGCTGGGGAAGGCAGACACATAGTCCACAGGTGAACCCATCAAGTGAGTTGAACTAATCCTAAGAAAGACAATCAGAAACATTATAGAAATGGCACTCAGAGAGTACCAAATGCAGCTCCATCCAGCAGGAGCCAGAGAAGTCACAGGGGGGCTCTCACTGTGCTTTCACCAACTTCCAGATGCCACTCACCCCTACTCAGCCAAAGGTGTCAGTGTGGACACCCTGTGATCCTCTTCCATGCAGTCAGGGATCAGAGTAGAAGGCAGATGATCATACACCACTGATGCCAGTGCAGACCATGGAGAGAGAAAGGATAGTGATTCAGTCTAAGTAAAAATAAACCATCCTGGGGCATAACGAATTTCTTTCCAAGTCTCTTCAGATTCTTATAAACGTCTTCTGTACACACACACACACACACACACACACACACACACACGAGAGCTTGTATTATTCCATTTATTGGCTCACACTCTGATACCCCAGAGAGCTAAATACTCAGCTCTGTTTTTAATGCTATCCTGACATTCACATCAACTTTTCCATAGAAACAGCAGTAAGGAACAGGAAGCAGCCAACGTCAAGTTGGACCCAGATTCCATCACAGAATACAAGAGATATTGTAGTTAGTGCTTCCAAATAAAATTCCTTTTCTTCAAACTCTTTCATAGAATCAAAGACTCATTTTGGGAATAACCCCATTACCCAGATTCATACCCATGCCTGAATCTCCTGTCCAATAACCCATTTCTGCTTGAATTCCTCTATTGACTGGCAGCTCATTACCTCCTCAGACAGCCCATTCTACCTACTATTTCTGATTCTCCCAGTTGAGACCCTACAGAACAGACTTCACCCCTCCCTGACATGACAGGCTTTATATGAAAAGACAGCTCTCAGTTCTTTTTAAAGTGAGCTGTGTGACACTTCTGATTTGTGCTATTCAAAGCAGCCAGAAAGACAAGGTACGAGGCCCAGACAAAGCCCCTACCTCATCCAATAGCACTGCTGGCCCTTATAAGGAGAGATTTAGACAGCCTCCCACAGAAGCAGACCGTGTGAAGACACAGAAGATGGTCATCTACAGGCCAAGGAGCAGGACCTCAGAAGAAATCAGTCCCCCTACACCTTGATTTCAGACGTCCAACCTCCACAACTGTACAGAATCAAAGTCCGAAGTTCAAGCCGCCAGTCTGTGATCCAGGCCTTTGTTACTGCAGCCCTAGCAAACGAGTACTGTACAGCTGGCCCCACCACCCGAACTTCGCTATCACAGAGATATTCACAGCAGCTGATTGAGGTGTGACAGCAGAAATGGACACAGAAACATGTACAAAAGGGAGTGAGGCAGTGAGACATCATTTCAGGAGACGAGAGGCAGTCACTGGGGTCCATGCAACTGGAGTCCCAGCAAAGAGGATCCCTTGAGAGGGAATCCACAGCTCTCACCAGGGCCCTTACCAATGGGTCCCCTGAGAGTGAATTCTGAGCCCTTTACAGAGGACTGTAGAACTCATAATGGGACAAGAGATCCAGAAGCCCAGTGCTCGCCTCCAACCCCAAGGTGGCAAGAACAGTAGCTGCAACCTCAGGAGGAAAGCAGAAGAAGGGCACAAACCCCACAGGCCTTTACATCACACCGGTAGCAGGCATTTAAATTAGAAAAGAATTGCAGGAGCAACAGGAGACCAGCAGATTGATTAAGAACCAACTCTCATGCGGGCTGGTACTTATTCCTCCATGTGGCAGCTCTGTGAGGGCTTCTAGGACCCCCACCTTCCACAGTAAAAGAAGGTAGGCCCGGGGAGGGACAGCTGGGGAGGGTCCTGACTGGATCTCACAGCTCTGTACCCTTTTCCTTGGCTTCAGCCACCTGGCCTAGAAGATTCAGATGAAGATTCAGATCCTCTTCACTGAGGCTGTGGCACTGGACTCGGGGAGGTTAGGGAAGTGTCTGCATCCAGTACCTGGTAGCTACCATTATTGGTAACACCTGTAGTGAGGCCGCTGGGGCAGCGCAGAGCAGGACCTGACTGCAGCCACAGCCCCGAGTCACAGTGCTAACCACAAGGAGCAGAAACCCTGGGACCAAGGGAGGAGCATAGCGACATAAACAAGGTGTCAGACTTTGAGTGGCCTCACAGGGAACCTGGGCCCTATTTTAGGTCATACTGGAGGAAGACCAATGGGAAGCAGCTACAAGAAGAAGGCCAGGCTCAGGGCCAGGACTTGGTGGGGCTCAGGGACTTTAAGCAATTCCAAAAGATTGTCACTAGCTATTGAATACAATTGGTCACCCTCAGTTCCAAAGCACAAGGACTAATGTGCCATGACATCTTGAATTTATTCGGTACCTTTCTGCCAAGCAGATCAGAGCACTTCAAAATAACTTCCTCTGAACTTTTCTGAGAAGAAGCCAGGGAGGAAAAACCCATTTCATCTACAAACTACCCTTGATATCAGCCATAATCCCTGAAATTGTGTAACTCTTTCTGGTTTCCAGAAGGCTCTGGCATGCGGCCTCAATGATGCCCTGGGAATAGCCCATTTTACAGATGAGGAAAGCAGAGCCCAGGGGTTTTCATGCCTTCCCAGGTGAGATCTTGCCCATCCCAGCCTTCCACTGCATGCTGGCATCACTATGGCCAGTGTTGTGCCACACAGACCCCAGCCAGCCCAGGTCCCTGAAGGCTAAGGCAAAGCTGGCCTTTGAAACAAGTAGCTTGTGACATTGTCACAAAGACCCCATCCTCTGAACCCCAAGTTCTGAGCCAGTAGCTCTCTCAGCCAGGGCTCAGACTGGGAGGCGCTCCATGCAGTTCCAGTTTTGCTATTTCCTTGCTCCCACTGCCGAGGTGCTCATGTTCCTGCTGTGCTCCCAACACCTTCTCGCCTTCCCCTCATACTCCCTGCTGACTCGCCTTCTTCAGTGCCCTGAGCCTCTCCCTGCCCTCTGCCTTTGGCTTCTCGCTCTTGCAAAGGCTTTTGTTCTTGTCCACACACCTAGCCCCACCCTCCCACCTGAGAAAACCTGCTTTGTCCTTCTGACCAGCTCCCCCTGGATTTGCCTGTGCAACCCTGCCTGGAAAGCAGGACCTGGGTGGGCAAGGTGGGGGAGGCCTTCTAGGCCGCCCCAAGGACACAGAGGCCAGGAAGCTGCTGAATTGAGTCAAGAAGTAGAGAAGAGTGGAGAAGAAAGCAAACAGAGAGTTCCAACGCGTGCCCAAAGACAATTTGAATTAAAGGCCAGCAAGAAAGAATCTACTAACAGAAAACAGAGGTCTTACAAATGAAAACAAAATTGGAGAAGTGTCTGGAAGCCCTAAGAGGAGACATTATTAAAGGAAGCAGGGACACAATTAATCTCCTACTTGGGCTTTTCCTTTACCTGATCCCTTGAGCTAAAAAGATCGAGGGACTAGTTCACACAAAAGTGTAAATGATTGATTATACTTTTCAAAATGCTATTTTTAGAGCCAGTTAAGTATTGGTTCCAAGGAACTTGTCTTGCTTCAGGCATTGGTAACTGGGGGAGGGGACAGGGGAATCTGCTCAAGTTTTTGAAATTGTTCCAGTATATTTAATGAGGCCATCCCAGAAAATGTCCAAGTAAAACTGGAAGCTATGGCACATTGAGTTCCTGAACCAGCTCCCTCAAAAAACCCAAGCCATTGGCCTCACACCTGCTCAGCCCCTTAGCCTGCTCCGGCATGCACACACTCAGACCGTGTGGGAGAACCTCAGCTGCTTCCAGAGATAACCTCTCCAGGGGCCACAGGGTTTGAAGCCTGCTGGTCCAGGGGCCTCAGCCCGTCCCCAGCTGCCCTACTCACTTGCTCTGTGACCATTAGTTTGGCAATTTAACCTGTCTGAGCTCCAAGTCTCTTGTCTAAAAATGTAATCAAATCAATTCTCTTGTCTAAAAATGTAATCAAATCAAAGAGATTAACCCATTGCTTTACTTAGCATACTGCCTGTCTCCTTCCTCAATAAGGGTTGACACTGTTTTTATCATAGACCAAAACTAACCCAGCCCTCCCACCCTCACCCACATATCCCAGGCCTTGGTCTTGGGCACCCCTCTGCTGCAGGAAGGCAGAGATGCCCCTCTGGAGTCATCTGCAAAGGGAGAGCATGTGACATAGTGAATGCCATAGGTGAGGAGGAGAATTACTTTGTTGAGAGGCAACTCCATCCGGGCACTGGCCTGCACCAGCTGGATGCCACCAAGCCTTCGTCCTAGCAGTGGAGCAGGGAAGGGTCTGGGTGCAGGCAGGGCAGCCTCTCCCACAGAGGAGCAGTTTGCTCTCCTCCTGACCTTCTAGCTCCAGCCACAGGGCTCACTCTCCTCACACCTGACCTGGGTCCTCAGGGCTCTGACCCAAGACCACCTTATGGAGAATCATGCTGTCAAGGTTGCTCTAGGATTTCTTACAAATAAGAATTGAATGGAGGCTTTTTTTGAATCCATTATTTATTGGTAACGGGCCAGTTAATAAAGCTCTCCTTTGAAAGGAGATCAGACCAGGATTTGCCTCTAGCCAGGGCCTCACGGAGGTTTTCTTCATGACTTGGTTCCTTTTATCTATTTCGCACTCCAGTTTAACTGCACATCCATCAAGTCACGGTGTCATAATGAAGAAGACCTGACTGCAGTATCAGTTACTGGTAGATTTGTAGGGTCTGGGAGGAATGGTAAGGTGGGGTGAGGGGGTCACCTGGCTCAACAATGAGGGCAAGAAAGGGAAGGGAGGTGGTGTTCCAGTTGGTCTGGGTCCACGTGTACACACAAACATACACATACACACACATCCCTACATACATGCACAGACACAAACACATGCACACACACTCACACTCACACACACACAGATAAGCTCCAGTAAGATGCATTCTGGGAAAATACACAGGCTATGGGGAGACAAGCATGTCTATAGGCTGCAAGTAGGGATGTTATCTGATAGTTTCTCTTTGAAAACCCTTGGGACTGGGCGTGTAGCTCAGTGGTAGTGCCCCTGCATAGTATGTGCAAGGCCCTGGGTTCAATTCCAAATAAACAAATAAATAAAACTTGAAAATATGAGTATTCATTAGATTTCCCTTAACAAAATACTTAAAGGTATCATAATGGTTATGCAAAGAACACCTGTTGGGAACTCTTTTAGCAAAAAATGCCAACGAGAAACAGTCCATCAGAGTTCTTGCCTGGAAGCAACAGAAATCACCGCTGACTGGTGCAAACAGAAGACAGACTGCATAAAAGGACAGTATCTAGCTTTAGGTTGGGCAGCCGGGAATGGCAGGCACCTGAAACAATGGGTAGTGTGCACTGTAGCTCTACATGAGCCAAACCCC